TGGTCCCAGCTGCTTTCACTCTACTGAGCCCTGCTGTTTCCCATGGGGGTCACTCCCCTTCCAGGCATGTCCTCCAGCTCCAGCTGACAGGTCAGCCAAACCAGAACCAAGAGAATCAACAAAGATTTCAATATCCAGTGTGTTCAGCAGAGATCTAAACTGCACACACAAAAAAAAGAAGTAGAGAGGCACACAGCTCCCCTGACAACATTATGTCCCAAAGCAATGTCTTCTGTGCCCCTCATTAAGGAGCTCACTGTCTCTCACCACATAAGCAAGTGCTTCCAGGGTCTCTCAATTCCTCAACAGGAGGTAACACACATTTTAACCCAGTACCTCAGCAAAGGAAGTGGTGATCATTTACGTACTTGTGATAAAGTTCCTGAAAAGATCCCTAGACTGCAAATTTCCCCTCCAAAATATGACAGAAAAAGCTTTCCAATTGCAAAACATTGGCCTCCTTGCTGTTAAAAAAGTACCCCTGAAAGAGCCAAAACAATTTTGCCAAAATAAATTGCAGAACTTGAACTTTCTTATTTGAAATCTCACAAAACATTACAAGTACTAAAAACAGAAACTGCTGGCATAAGAATACAAATAGGGAGTAAAGGGATAGAATTGAGAGTCCAGAAATAAACCCTCACCCTTATAGTTCATTGCTCTTGCATAAGGGTGTCAAGATAATTTAATGGAGGAACAATCATCGTCTCAAATAACAGTGCAGAAACAGCTAGATAACCACACGCAAAACAATAACCTTAGAGAACTATGCTTCCAACCATATCAAACAATTATCTAAAAATGGATCAGTGAGTTAATTACAAGATCTATAACCATAAAAACATCTTAGAAAAAGACATAGGGGTGAAACTTAATGACCTCAAATGTGCAATGGATTCTCAGGTATGACCCAAATGCATGAGAAAGAAAAAGGAAAAACAGATAAATTGGGCTAAAGATGCAAGCCTTTTGTGCATCAAAGATATTATCAAGAAAATAAAAAGACCAAACACAAAATGAGACATAATAGTTGCAAATCACAAAGACAATGGTTTCACGCCTAGAATATATAAAGAACTGCTACAACTCGATAATGAAAAGGCAAACCACCAATTTATATAAATGGTCAAAGGACGCAAATAGACATTTCTTCAAAGAAGATATGCAGATCATCAAGAGGGACATGAAAAAAAACTCAACTGCATTAGTCATTAGGAAAATACAAAGTCAAAGCCACAATGAGATACCACACTACACCTACAAATATGGCTACCATTCTTTTCAAATGCTAAATAACAAGTGAAAGCATTATGTAGAATTTGGAATCCTCATACATTGCTGGTGAGATTATAAAAATGTACAGCCACTAGGAGAAACAGTTGTGCTGTTCCTCAAGAAGCCAATCATAGAATTCTCATATGAAACAGCATCCATTCCTAGGT